TTTAATATTCAATAATATTTCTACAATTTTTTCAACGTTAATAAAGTTGGCAAAAGAATGCAAATATTACCTTCACTACATGGAGAACAGTGTATTTGAAATAAATGTGACAAAAAATTAATATTAATATTCCAGGGTTAAGAAAGGAGGATAATTAGCCTGTTAAAGGTTTGAATTATTAACGTGTCACAAAAATAGGATCCTTTCACGATCAAAGTCAAAAATAGCACTGAAGTATACGTGGTTCTCGACATTCTCATGACCTATAAAAACTTGTCGTTGCACGTCATTCTCTCCTGCTCGGTATATGAAAAGGAAATGATCAACCTTGAACGTGAAACAAACAATGTGACAGTGCAGTAGCGTTACGAAACAGGCTTGCAGATTTAACGAGGCACCATTTTTTCTATATTCATTGTTCGTCAAATTAGAAATTTAAATTAGGCTAGTATTCTCGAAAGACAAGTTTTTTCTAGATTCTTGTATCTGCATTTTGCAAGGACAACTTAAATTTCAGCTATAATTATGTAAATTACACATCCAAATTTCTCAGGTTCAGAGAAGGAATAAAATCTTTGTCTTCTAATTATTTCTGTTATTCTCGTTTCAGGATCATCTTTGACTCCAGCAAGCACTACTTTGAAACTTGATCAAGCAACGAGTAGACTGTCCACGAATGAGAATATCAGTGTGAAAGAATTACCTGTACCAAAAGAAAAACCAGAAAAGCCTCAAGAGCAACAGAAATTAAGTGATAAAGAAATAATTGCACCTCTTAACATTCTACCTCTGAGCACTCCCACTCTGCTCAAATATACTCATGTTCCCACTCTTCACTATTTTGTTTATAATCATTAACGATCACGTTGCACGCTGTGAAAGTTTATGTTTCTTATATTTTACTCGAAGTATTGTACCTTGATGTTCAACGTTTTAATAAAGCTTTTATAAGATAAAGAAGATCATTTGTGTTCAATATTTTACCTCTAGCGTTGAACCCGGGTGTCTCGGGAACACGTTCCGTCACTTCCTGGCCGAATCGGATCACGTAGCATCGCGGGAAGGAAGGATTAAGCGGATCGAGGGAAGAAATTTCACTTTAAAATATTGATTAACTGATGTAAACATGAATATTATTTACATTAAGAATTGCTTATAATTAGGAGGAAATAGTTTCGAGAATTTTTAATTCTATTATAGGGAAAAGTTGATCAAATTCTCTACGATTTTTCATCAATATTTCGATTTCTGACTTACCTGAAGAGTCTCGCAGCTTTAAGTTCCTTCCGAAGGAATTAATTTTTCAGAAATTCGCAATAAATATAGCATCTCCGCAATTTGCTAAATATGTTCTTTCTGATTTATTAATTTTTCTAATTTCAAATTTTTCAAAACAGAATTTACGAAGGAGAAACATTTCTAAAGTTAACGACTGAAACGCATTAAATGAAATCAAAAAATATGATTTTCTAACTCACTAATTGTAAAATAACGAAGTTAATCAGAATGTGAATTTAATTGAAATAACTTTATTTACGATGGGAATTTCAATTCTACTTGTTAACGTTCATCGAGGGAAGAATAGTCGACGCTTTCTTGTACATTTGTCAATTTATTTTTATTCTTCTTTACAAAATAATGCCGGCTGC